TATATTAAAAAGTATAGTTCAATTATAGAAACATAAAAATAAAATAAACAGTTCAAATGACGATCTAAAAAACAAAAAATAAAATATTATTAAAAAAATATTTTTAATTCTAAAACATATATGGTGGCAAAAAACAGTTTTTTGTAAAAGAATAACATTTTTAAAAGAATAATGTTTTAAAAACAAAATCGTGTTATCCTTGTTATTATTATTATTTAAATTAAATGATGAAATATGAACTTGTCAATAACAATTGATTTGGAATAGAAATAACTATAAAAACTTTATTGATATTATTGATGTAACCATTATTGGTTCAAAATTATATTGGGGTATTTTTATTATTATAACATTTAAAAATTATAAAATAATAATTTTGAATAAAAAAATTTCATCTCAAAACAAATAAACAAATCAAACCACACATAAATAATGAGTCAACAACCAAGTCAAACACTAATAGCAAATTCTTTAAATTGGGAAGAATCTGAATTCAACACAACTACACATTCGAACCTTTTGATTAGTCGAGAAGCTTACATGAAATATGACGACAATTTTAACGAGTTATATTTTTTTGATTTGTTTATAAATAACAATATTAAACAACTTTGTATAAATTTCACTAATGAGTACGGAAAACAAATGAGTATTTATAATAACATTAAAAATGATGTGGAATCAGATAAAATTGAATGGAAAGATATTTCAATTGAAGAATTTAACGCATTTCTTGCAGTAACAATAATACAAGGACAATTCAAAGATAATAAAATTGCACTTGATGCGTTGTGGCAAAGTGAAAAATCAAGTATATTATATAAAGCACCAATATCTTTAAAGAAATACAAACTCATCAAAAAATATTTGAGATTTGATGATGGTGCGTATTTAAGAGAAATTGCAAGAATCGAGTTTAAAAGTGTTACTGATGACATTTCCCAAGATTCCGAAGATGTATTAGAAGAAGATCACCAAGAAGAACAAGAGATATCACCGATTACAAGAACATCTACCCCAGAAGTAGATTTGGACTTTAATTGTGATTTTGTCACAACACAAAGCCAAACAATTGAAGATGGCAATACATCTATGTGTTCTTTACAACAAACTGCTAGTTTTCAAGTACCAATATCAACACAACGTATCACGAATACCAGAACCACTCAACTCAGAATGCTTCCTTCACATATGCTTCGACACGACGAACGCCCCATGACATCTCAAATCGTTTCACAACAACAGACACCAACAAGACATATTACTAACTTAACCACACAACTTCGATTACAACAATAAGAACACTTGTGTATCCTTTGCCTTTTTCACAGTAGTCGGTTCAACTTCACAGTCC